GATACATATAGTCCTGGACAAAAAAACATGAGTGAGCATGGATAGTCTTTTACGAATGACTAAAAAAGGAAAACGTGCTTGATTTATTTTAATTTATTAAATCGGGTTTCTCTTATTAGACTAGTTTTAGCGTCCCTAGATAAGCAAACTTAAAAAGAGTTTTTGTAAAAACAACTCTTATTTTGGTAAAAACTTTATTTTTAGAGTCGCCACCCTCTAAAGAAGAAATCCACAGAATAGTCATTTCTTCGGATGACTAATTCAGTTTTTAATCAAACACTAGGTAAGGGAATTAGGTACGGTCACAGGAAGGGGTTAGGCACCCTGACTGCCAGGTTAGAAACCGCGCTTCTTTATTGTCCATTCATTCGCAACTTTAATAACACCATAACTTTAATTGAGGTGTATAACATATTTTGATGCATTTTAAATATGGCAACCATGCACATCATCAATCAAATATAACAAAGTAAAATAAAACTAACCAAAGAAATGGGAAAAGGAGAATAGAGTTACAAACCACAACCTATTGACCATCTACCCTTTAACCCATTCCAACCTATTAAGATTACGAATATGCAATTTATGGAATCCATTATAGACCCTTACATCAAGTTTAATAAAAAGCATTAAATCAATTATAAAGAATAAAGTAATAATCATGACATAACTATAATCGAGCATTCACAGGCCACGAAACATGAAATAACTTCAAAGAATCATAATAAAAGATAACAATACTAATGAACAATGGTTAGCACATTAAATCACAATGCAATAATGAAAAAGCATAAAATAAATAACTTGAAATTTAAATGACAGAATCTAAATGAACTGGAAAGTAAATAACAGAATAGTAATTCTTTATTTTTTAACATAGAATAGGATTTGAGTTCAAGAATTTGTTGTTCATCACGAATGATGAACAACTATGACCATTACTATCCTTTTTCAATTTCTTATTTGTTCATCTAGGCCAAAAATTGGTTCTGTATGCATTTTAAGCAAAAGTGCTTGATGCTCGACTCAATTGAATCCTAGAATCATGACAAGTTATGTGGAAATATTTGTTCAGGGGCCTCAAGTGAAGACATGTGCGCCACTACGTGTGGCGTGTAAGAGTCTTGCCCAAAGTAGAGACCTAAAAAAAAAAAAAGAATATTTTCCCTTTGTTTGGCTAACCACAGTGGCGTGCGCCACATGTAGTGGCATGCGCCATTCCGATTCAGGACACACCCCTTGGGTCATCACATGGCTATCCTCACAACGAATGAAAAGGAGGCATTTTTTAACGCTTAGAAATGAAAAAGACGAAGAAGGGTTAGAACTCTCAGAGTTTACTTGGTTATGGAGAGAATACAAAGTCTTTTGAAAAAATGAACCAAGAAACTCAAATGTTCTAATACTTGTTCATTAATTCGAGTTTTTATTTAAATGAGAAATCATCTTTCAATGGCAGATTGACAGAATAGTTTCAGTTTACACTATAATTTTCTATTTTTCTTGTAAAGAACAATTGATATGATTGTATTTTCAAGTTTGAAAAGGCTTTTCATATATTAGTAACTAGGTGGTCCTTCGCACTTGGCGCGGCTGTTTAGTATTTATGTATGAAAAGCAGAACAAACTTTTAAGCAAAAACAATTAACTAAGAACTAAAAATCATAAACAAACAATCCAAAAACAAAAAGATAACAAAGATAAAGAAATATAAACATTCACCATTATGTTGTTGTTTCCAAGTTATATCAGCCAAAGTTATGAAAAAAATAGCATAGAGTTTAATGAACAAAATAGCACAAATAGAGAACTTTGTACATGTTACATCTCATCACAATAAAATTATTACATGTTTGCATTTATTCTCTAAAATAAAATTATATTTCTTTCATATTACTTTTTCTACACAGAATAAAATAAGAGTAATATTTGAAAAATAACAATATTACAACATATGAAAATAGTAGGGTACAAATTAAAATTCGATATCAAAGAGAAAATAATATCTTTCTTTTCCTAATTTACATATACAAAAGAATGTAATTTGATAGAAAAAGATAGACAAATAAATTTTTATCGAAAATAAAAGCACGATTTATAAGATTAGGATTGCATAAAATATTATAGTTGTGGTATTTTTAAACTAAAATTGAGTTATGAGAATTAAAATACACCATCTTTGCATCTTTGTCAGTAGAAGAATAAACCACTTCTCCAATACTATCTGATTTCATAGAAAAAATAACCACATATCTTTCAATATAATATCATTGATTTTGAAAATCAATTTTTGCAAAACCTCTTCTGAAATGAACATTATATATTCTTTGCATCTTTGTCAGTCTGAGAAGAGATAAAGCCACTTCTCCAATACTACTGATTTCAGTAGAAAAATAAACCACATATCTGTTCAAATCCAATAGTCAGTTGATTTTTGAAAAATCAATTTTTTTGCAAAACCTCTTCTGAAATGAAACAATATATAGTATATATATATATTATATATAATATTTTGCCAAAGTAGAGCACCATTATACATTGTAAATATATATATATAATATTTTGCAAAGTAAGCACCATTATACATTGTAAGAATAACTAGAGAGAGGAAGATTAAAAATTAGAATTAAAGAATGAGAAAAAAATTAAGTAAAATTTAATTAAAGGGGAGATGATTGGTTGCATGTTACAAAATTATAGAATCTCATATATCACACAAAAGTCATAAATTTCCACCCAACAACAATAAATTTTGTTTAATTCATGTATAATTATCATTAAAGAAGAAGAGATAAATTGGAGAGGGAGCCGTATTTTCTATTTAAAAGTTATAAATTTTCTCAAATAAGTAAAAAGCAAATACTAATGTTTGAGAGTTTCACTCGTCTAAGGAAGAGTCATGTCAACAATCAAAGAAAGCCAATGATTCTCCATATTATATATATAATGATTTTGAAATTGAAATTTGAAATTTCCATTGTTAAAATTTCTATTTTTATACTATCCAATTTAGATTGGTATTAGGCTGAAATTAAATTGAAAAGTTTGATTAAATTAACTCAAATATTTTCAGTTTTGAATTATAACCAAGTAGGGAGGACTTTCCAGGGGTTCCTTTAAAATCTAGATAACCTCATGTTATTTGGTTCACTTTGCTTCTCTTTTTAGCAATTCTTGTGTCTTAATCTTTTTCTATACAGACAAAAAATATTCAATTCATTAATAAAAATTTATATGATAATTTCAAGAATTGTTAGAAAAAATTTCACTTTGCTTAGAAAAACTTCAACTTATATTTTTTGGTGAATTTTAATAGCTCTAGATTAGAATATATCACTTTACTACTACTAAATGGTTGGGTCAACGGTAATAAATTGTATTGCACTAAAATACTACACTAACAAAGAAAAACTATAGAAATTTTAATTTACAGTATGCGTTATTATGGTAAATAATCGACTATAATGGATATTGTATGAATTTTACTTGATTTATAAATATAATATGAATTTACAGTTAATGGTTTTAATCATTATATTATATATTCTTTATCTTATGGTAAAAAAAAAATAGATTTTATTACAATACTTAATTGGCTCCATGATAGTATTTATCTATCTATATCTATATCATGTATCTATCTATCTAAATATATGATAATGTGAACTCAGTTGATGATTTTGATATTTTTAAAATTTTTAAAAGTTTTATTTAATTTTCTAATTTGAAGAAATCAAATTATAAAAACTTTTCATTTTCTTTATTAAATAGTTAATAACCATATAATAAAAACTTATTAGGTTTTTCAATAACTGATAATCATACAATAGATTGATTGTAATATTTTGTTATTTTATAATTTAATTATTCTATATTTTTTTAATCTTAATTTCCTTTTGAGTACTATATAAGTGAGTACTATATCTATTAAATTTATCATGTAAATTTTTACTTACTTTTTAATATTTAATATATTTTTAGATAGTGATAAATATTAATACCTTGAGCAAAAAACAACTATAATTAAAGATTTATAAAATTTTTTCTTTTTCCATTTAGATAATTTTATGATTTGAGTGATTGTTTTAATTTGTAAAAGCAATATTTATGTTTTGTTGCTTTTAGTTTAACTAAGAAGATGAATTTATTGTTTTTAATTTATTAGTCTAGAATTCTTTTATTATTTTTAAATTTATAAAAAAAGTTAGATGAGTAATTTTTGTTATCATAATTAAAAAACAGGAAAAAGGTGAATAACAAATATTATCTTTTCATCATATTAATTATTCATTTTTGCAATAAAATTTAAGTCGCATCAATTATTCGTAAGTATTAACCCGTACAACGTTCAAACATGACCAGTTATATTATATCATTATGATAAATTTAAAATTATATCGAATTTATGATAGTTAACCCATGTATTTAAAATGACAATGATATTTAAATATTTTTTAATTTTAGTTTTACTAAAAAATTGCACATAAAAAAAAGTTTCAAATTAACACATGTATTTCAATAACTTACTATTTAAACATATAATATACTTATCTAAAGCATAAGAAGACGGCTACTCATTATTAATTGTTAACATTTTCAAATTTCATGATTAATTTTGATAAAATCTTATATAATTTGGACTTTAGACATTATAAAATTTGTTATTCAAGAGTATTTGACTATGACTGTACAAAAGTTCAGTGTGGACCAAAATTGAATTGGACAATTAAAAATGACTAAATCAAAATTTTCTAATACCAATTCAAATTGATTTAATAAAAAATTTGAGTCGCATAAAACTAGTTCAATTCATTTATTTTTTCAAAAAATAGGGATGAAATAGTAATTTGGTCAAAATTAGGAATTCATTAGTAATTTTTGCTTTTTTACTTAAAAAAAATATCCGCTTGAATTATTGAAAAATAATTTTTTTTTTTTTTCAAAAATTAAAAGAATATTTCTTTGTAATAATTAAAAATTTAATTTCTTAAATATTAATTAAAGACCGGTGAATGCAATTTATTTGTTCTTAAAATCCACCTTAACGCCACCCCCATCTTCCACGTTACGGAAAAAAAAAACAGGTATTGTTCTTGCAGATAATCGTCAGCCTATCTCTCTTTCTTTCTCGTGTTCTTTGACGAACAAATTAAGGTATTTTTTTTTTCCCTTCAAATACTCAATTTTCAATTTTTGGTTTTCATTTATTAGATCAACGAAAAACAAAAATTACGTAATTTCGGAAATATACATCATCGTGCATTTCTTTCTGTTTTATTCCTGAGAAAATAAAAAATGACAGTATTATTTCTGATTCAAAGTTTCGTCTTCGCAATCTCGATTGAATCGAATAATTATGTTACTTATGCAGTTTTTCTTTTCTTTTCTTTTTTCTTTTTCTCTTCTTAGATTCTCACGGCAAGCAATAATAGAATTAGGGTTAGTTCTTTGTGACTACTTAGAATTGCTAAATTCTTGTTGCTATAGGTTATACCGTGCATCTACTAACTGATTGTATTGCTATAAATTATTCTTCTGTAGTTCTTTGATTGACTTATTTGACCATCTAGTAAGTGATATTTGTTTGATTAGATGTATATATTTTTTCCCCGGTAATTTATTTTGCTTTTCTTATGAATTTCGTGGTTAATCTATAAGCATTGGCTAAATTGTGCGCTGGGTCTGTGTTATTAATTCTTATTTTTGTTTGTTAGGAATTCAAATTCATAGCTGGACAAAGTTGGGAAATGCTGTTCTCTCATTTCATTTAGGTCAGCAATACATTGATTTGGTTAATATCACATTAAGGGTTGAGTTCATTTCTTTTGTGGATCTTGACCCTGATTGAAACTGCAATTGAGAGATGAGTCAGAAAGGTTTGATATATAGTTTTGTGGCAAAGGGTACGGTTGTATTAGCAGAACACACCCCATATTCAGGGAACTTCAGTACCATTGCCGTTCAATGTTTACAGAAGCTTCCTTCAAACAGCAGCAAATACACATACTCATGTGATGGATATACGTTTAACTTCCTGATCGACGGTGGATTTGGTATAATTTCTTCATGTTGGTTATTTATGCAAACATAGTGCTAGCTTATGCAAATTCATGCTTGACCATTCATTTTTTTGGCTTGCAGTTTTCCTTGTTGTTGCAGATGAAGCGACAGGGAGAAGTGTGCCTTTTGTTTTTCTTGAGCGGGTGAAGGATGATTTTAAACAGCGTTATGGTGCGAGTATTAAGAATGAGGCACACCCACTTGTGGATGAAGATGACGATGATGACTTGTTTGAAGACCGATTCAGTGTTGCCTATAATCTTGACAGAGAGTTTGGGTGAGTACATCCTTGGATGTGGCTATTGGATTTTCTTTTTGGCCCATGTTGAATTACTTTTGGTGTTCTACTACTTAATAGGCCGAGGCTTAAGGAACACATGCAATATTGTATGAACCACCCAGAAGAGATCAGCAAGTTATCCAAATTAAAGGCCCAGATAACTGAGGTCAAGGGCATTATGATGGACAATATTGAAAAGGTAATTTTCAATTTTTGAGACTTGGTGTGGAACAATTGATGTTAACATTTAAACATGAAATATCATGTTTTCTCATGAATGGATGCTATCCAGTATTCACCATGGTTTCTTTAGCATGAAGTGTTATTATTTATGTCTGTATGGCCTTTTGCTTTCTTTTGATGGTTTAGGGAGGAAGCTGTGAAATGTGAAGTTACTACCAATGATATTGTTGCTTATTCATGCAATCATTTGATTGATTTTGAACATCAGGGTTTATCCGTTGGGATAAATATTGGGAATAAGTGCATCTATCAAACAATTCTTGGTCGTTATATTGGGAAAAACTTTTCTAAAGCTTGTATGTTTTCTCAGTTAAGTTTTGAGTTGGACTTTGGGAGTTTTCATCGAATATACTGGTACCTTTAGTCCAATCTTAGACAAAGAGCAAGGAGGATATGAAGCACTCCAATGCACAAATAGATAGAATAGCAGCAAATAACATCTTTCTAGCCTGTATTTCCTTTAAAATTTTTGGCTTTGCGTAATACTATTAAGCAAGTTTTCTGGTCCATATGGTTGACATTGACTTTGTTGCAATGCGTTATTTGAAACTATGTTTCTTATGTAATTCAGGCTATTGTGGATCTTATTTTCTTTGATTATATGCTGTCCAAAGTGTTTATATGGCTTTATTTGGATTTTATTTTGTTAGATGAATTATCCCAAACAGGGAAGATGATTAATATATCACACCACTCAAGCTGTTCTTCTGATAGCAAATTAGGTAGAGTTTGTTGAGCTTGTGGATGATTGAGCCTTTGTTGAGTTGTGTGGGTTCTGCCATGCATTACTTGTGTTTTTTTTTTTTTTTTTTTCTTCTTGATAGCAAATTAGGTAGAGTTTTTGTTGAGCTTTGGGTGATGATTGAAGCTTTGGTTGAGTTGTGTGGGTTCTGCCATGCATTACTTGTGTTTTTTTTTTTTTTTTTGAGTGGGGTTGTGGGGCGGAGGGTTGGCTGAGAGAGGGAACTTCTATAATTGTAAAATTTAGTAGCATGACTATTTTTAGAACTTTCTAAGACAGATTTTTTTTTTTTTTTTTTGAGTGGGGTTGTGGGGCGGAGGGTTGGCTGAGAGAGGGAACTTCTATAATTGTAAATTTAGTAGCATGAATATTTTAGAATTTCTACAGAAGATAATTAAGAAGATAATGAACACAGTTAGGTGGAAGAATAATTGAGATTATTGTGGAGAATCTATTCAAATTAGCTATTACTTGTCCTGGTTAACTTTTCTGGTGCGATTAATAATGTCATTTCATTTTTTTTATGGGAATAGTTTGTGGAATTAAGATGCACTGAATATTATTTATAGGGTGTTCAACACCCTGTATTTGTTGTTTTATGTTTACTGTTGATGTTTTATATTCTCCATTTGAGTTGCATTTGGAGATCAGGGAGGCATCTTTCAATGTTAATATGGTACAATATTGTTACATTTCTCGTCTATATCTATTGTAATTGTTTCCATCTATTTCAAACGAGGGTTTTCTGAATTTAACCATATTGGTTCCTCTTAATACTTGATTGCATCTTTGTAGTTGCAATTTGAGAAATGTAACCATATTGTACCAAGAGATGACCCTGTAGTTGCTACTCTAGATGCAGAATTTCATTGATTAGCTTCAGCATTTGAATAATAGTAGATTTAAGTCTGATCAAAGAACCAAACTTGAGGTGTGCTCAATAAATTTTGAAAAGGCCTTAACTTTTAGGTTGCATGATATCTTTAAGACGGCTTTCAACATTGGAAAATTGATTATTTTTATCTTATAGGCAGTAAAGTTATCAACACCTGATCCCAGAGAAATAATTGTGAATTTTTACCTCTGTTTCATGCTTTCAAAGAGTGGATTGAGTTACTATCTTTTCATTTTTATATGAAATTTCCCATTTGGTACTTTTTGAAATTTAACGTATATTGCCATTTAGGGGTAAGTCAAACTGAGTCTCCTAGCATCATCTGGTTTTTATTGGTCAGATGAAAGCCTTTCAATAAACATTAGCAAAATTGTGGAGTAGATTAGTCAACAAAGCCCTGAGATGACAATGCAGGTATATGTCATGATATGATATTTAGTAATTAGTAAATGCAATCTAATGCTAGAGATATTCATTTTCTAGGAAATCTGTACTAGAAGCTATGTAATAAGGTTTATGCTCTATTAACTGTCGCTTTCTACTTGTTCATGATTCTCTTGCATAGACAATGAAGGAAAAGGAAATTAAGTCACTCAGCATGCCTTTTCATCAACTCCTGTTGTTACCTTCGTGAATTTCAGTTAGATTGAAGCTATGTTTTCAAATTGTCTTTTGAAGACATAATGAAGTTTCCAACATGAGTCATCTTTGAAGTTCTTGAGACTAAGGTTATTAGATAAGTTTGATTCTATATGTGGATTCCTTTGAAGATGGTCTGATCTTTAAGACAATTTCATGAAAAATTCTTGGTTGTTTTAGTTCATGAGTTGTTGAGGATAGATCAAAAGTTCCTTTTCCATAGTGCAAGTGCATGGATGTGCAGTTGTAAAACAGGAGAATTCATTATTAGGATCATTCAGTGAGTCTAACTAATATGCATCTATTAAATATACTCTTGGTCAATTATGGACTGAGGAAGGACTTTCTCAAATAACTGTGATAATGGACTAAGAAGAAAAATTATGTCGAGAAAGTCAGTTCCTAAGAATTCTTGTTATCTCCCTAAGAAACTTGAAGGAATCAGAATCTTGGAAGGTCTTAGATGTGAAAAGAAAACTCACTTGAGCCCCCATGTCAAAGTTCTCAAGAATCTTTCAATAAAACTTGCTAAAATGGTGATTCTAGTTCTTCTACTTGAATTAGACAATAGCAATGGTAAAAAAAGGCATGAACAGAAAATTACTGAATAAATATCAACTTCGTGTGTTCTACAGAGCTATACTTGTCAGTTTAAAGGTCAAAATAACATTGACATGCCCAAATCTGTAATAGTCTTTCAATTTTTTTCTATTTTAGCTACATTAAATTTGCAAAACCTTAAAGATACTGTTAACTTATATAGGACTGCATTAGTTAACCTCTCATTGATGGGGACACCAACTATCTAGTTATTAAGAAAAAAGTTGAAAATTATGCTGGGTTTGAAGTAGAACCAAGCAAAGAGAAGAAAACAAAGTAAATTCATTTGTAACTACGGCCTAACTGGTGTCAAGAGACTCATTAAAAATTAGGGCACTTGAAAACAGTGGCTAGGTGGAAATCAAAATTGTGTTTCATGTAAGAAAAAAATGCTCTCAATTAGAGAACACCTGGTTCACATCTTGCAATATTGGCTTCTTTTTCCTACTTCAAGTGGCCAGACTCTCTTGAAACGTTTTCATCAGTTGTATGGACTTATTATTAGTTGTTGATTTCTATTAATTTCTTTTGAGCATTTCTTCAAATACAATAAAGTTTCAGTGTAAAACCTCTGCAAATAATTGAACTCTAGGTAAATGAATTCCTAATGGACATTGGATTCCATATGTGATAGCAGAAAATAGGATTATATACGCCTCCATTGACAAGGACTATAATCAAACAAACAGTTTCTTGGAAGAATAACATTCAAATAGTGCTTTGGGAAACATCATGTAACAATTTGACAAATAGTTGTGGAATTGAACAGCTGTAATTGAAACAATGATTCTGATGTGAATTGAACAGCTGCACTATTTACAGATTTCCATTACTCTCTTTAATCAAGCTGCCATGCCAAGTGCTTAAGGCTTTCTTGATGTTAATGAATTCCATCAATTTTTGTAGAATTAGTTTGTAATTATGTTTTCATTTTGCTATTTAGTGAAATGTTCATGGTACTGCCATAAATTCAGTTTTTTTAAAAAATCTACATAACTAGACCAAACTATATCATTTATATTCTGCGTTTCAAAATTTCTTTACCCCAAATTTCTGTGAGTAAAAGATTTTGTTGCTGTAAGGGGACTAATCCCATAAATTGCAGGTTTTGGATCGTGGGGAGAGGATTGAACTTCTGGTAGATAAAACAGAGAACCTGCAGTTTCAGGTAACTACTGTTCCTTGATTGATCAAATTTTGAAAGACTTAAGGGGCGGCTTGTAACAATAGACTTTGTCATCGATTTTTTGTTCCAGGCTGACAGCTTCCAGCGGCAGGGAAGACAACTCCGACGGAAAATGTGGCTGCAGAATCTCCAAATGAAGTTGATGATAGGAGGAGCAATACTTGTCCTGATTGTCATACTTTGGCTTCTTGTCTGTCGAGGTTTCAAATGTTAGACAGCAGCAAGATGGCGAATGCAGTAGCATTTACTTTGTTTGTCCAGTCTTTTTGTGTACAAAGTTATCGGTTTTCGAATATGTACAATGGTGCTGAATATGATATCTAGCTTTTCACAACTCATTTCTGTAATTACACCATTTGTATTTCTGGATGTTCTGTTCGTTAACATCATTTCTTAATGTAGAGGATGTGGCTTTAACGAGTAGGAGATATCATGCTATGCGCTTTTTAGTACCGATTTGGCGTCTCAACGTTTCATAGTTAGCAGATTATAAATATGGGTACTATAACACTAGTAGATTATGAACATAGATTGAATTAAAAAAAAAAATTATATCATATTTCATCGGGTCATAATTGTAAATTTGATGTTTAGATGGGTAAATTTAATGTATGGACTTTTTAAAATTTTTTATTTTAGTATTTGAATGGAAAGTGTGAATGTTTTACAATCAAGTGTTCAAACAAAATTTTTTAATCAAATTAGTGCTTTCTGTCCTCTGTTGGTATTTTGTTGATTAAGGGGTGCAAAAAAAGATATATATATATTCTCAAATTCTTTTATATTTTTCTTTTATTATGTGAGAGTTAGAATTGATTTCTATAGTTTTCAGCTTTCTAACTATATTTATAACTTTGATTAATATTTTATAACTATCACTTCCACCGTTCTATTTAGATAGAAAAAGTTTTTATTTTGGGAGTTCTATTTCGATAGAGAAAATCACTTGTTTAGTAACTTTGTGAACAATACTAGTTAAAAATACTATTTTGCCCTTATTTAATTTCTGAAAAAGAACTTTAATATTAGGAGAATATGCAGATAGTGGCGGACAAAGACTTTGAAGTGCATTTAATGAGGTTACTTTACTGAGAATTATCCCTTGATAAATAAATGTGAATTTATTCATAAATGAGCACTAAAATGAAGGAGATAACAATTGCAAATGAAAGATAGTCAATTCGTTGATAGACAAAAAGCTCATAGTGAGCAAGAAAAAGAACTGACCAAGAGCTAGATTTGTAAACACGATTTCAATTTTTTGTTTTCTTTTTGTTTTTTATACTCATTCAAGTTGTCATTTGGAAAACATTAACAAAAAAAGGAGGAACAAGTATACATAAACTAATAATAAATTTACATCAACTGAGCACTTAAACAAAACTTGGGGACAACTTTATATCAACAGTGGGTAAAATGATACTGTAATAATAAAAATGTGGACATATGTTAGTAGGAAGCACAAAGTAATGAGAATATGCAAACGTATTGTACAATTTAGCACATAAATATATTCATAAAGTATATTATAAACAACTAAACAAATTTTAAGGAAATTGGGGCACTAAATATCAATCTGTGAACAAATTTGTAATTGGACATTGAACTGTATTTCAGAGTCTAATTCAATCACAGTAGGTTAATTTTCACTTTTAATTAGTGTTCTTGGATACCCCAAATCACTCCTTGAATGATGGAATTTGAAATTAATACATCCTTTTTCTCTTTCACCTATGTGTGGCCTTATATAGGAATATGAGTAGGAGTTAATATTATGTTGGGGGCATATTAGGAAAAAATAGTCAAAAATTATAGTTTAACTGTCCATTAATTCTTATGCAAATTCAACTTTGCTATCTAAATAGAACGGAGTACATATATACTATATTATACTATATTTAACATTTTATACAATAGTGTGATAGTAGAGATATTCATTCAGTCACTGTAAGATACATTTGCCTAATTGACTAAGCCTGAAGGAGTTAATATCGCATTGTTGGGTATTTAGCAATTGATGCTAAAATTATTTGGGGTCTTTAATTTCCCTTTGGAGGAGAAGGATGGATTGTTAGTACTTGTTTTCGCACCGCCCCCGAGCGACACGAAGAACGCTTGATTTAATGTTTTTTGGGTTGGAAATGTGATTCTTATTAAGAAAATGGTGACAATTTGGAGGAGAAGGATGGATTGTTAGTACTTGTTTTCGCACCGCCCCCATAGGGCGCGCCAAACGAAGAACGCTTGATTTTAATGTTTTTTTTGGGTTGGAATGTGATTTTATTAAGAAAATGGTGACAAACTTTTAGGAATCCCGATGCCGATAAATCGATCTTATAAAACATTTGAGTCGCCACCCTAGGCAATGGGACCGTTTTTATAAAAATGACTCCATTTTAAACCCAATTTTGTTTTAAGGCCAAATTATTTTAAAAGACTGGTCAGGCGCACCAATACAATTCTGGGTAAGGGAATTGGGTACGTCGGCCCGTTAGAAGCCGACGCCTGGAAAATTGGCCTCTATTAACCTATGATTTCTAATTTATTTTAGTTAGAAAAGCCAAATTATTTACTTATTTAAATCCAACCCAAATGAATCGGACCGAGTTCCTATTTGGAAAATTATTTAATCGTCCCAATCAAATCTAATTATCACATAACAATTATTTGCATTCATCAATCATTCAAACCACAATCACATCATTTCATCCACAAGCTAATTAAAAGACCCGCTCTTGCCTTATGGTTAAAGGCAGGCCACAAACCGAATTTAAAATACATTCTACTCAATTTAAATTCAATAAACCCTAACAACACAAAATCATACATGATAATAAATTAACCTACTTGATTTGATTAAACTATAATCTGCCCATTATTGGCTATTTCTTGAATTATAAAAAAAAATTGAACATTTATTTAATTGGACAAAATAAAACAAAGTATAAAATTATTCTGGAACCCTAGAACAGTCGCGTCACGCAGCTGTTCTATGGAAGAACAGTCGCGTGACAGAATTCCTAGTTGCGTGACGCAGCTGTTCGTGACTTTGGAAAATTCTCAGATTCATCAATCATTTATTTAAATCATAATATTAAATAAAAACATAAAAACGATAAATCATAATATTAAATAAGAAAATAAAAACGAGGTAAAAATTATAAACACGAACAGTTCCGTCACGCAACTAGTCAGGGTAATGTCAAGCTCTTTTGGACATGAACAGTTCCGTCACTTAGCTTGTAGCTGCGTGACGCAACTGCTCTGGTCCGCAACTACCTTTCAAACTACCTTTTTTACGTTCTCTTTTTATCAAAACTTGTTTAATATACCTCAAAAACGTCCAATAATAGGTAGAATATTATTCAACCAATATCAAACTACCCAAATACCAACAAAATAGATATTAACAAATTAATAACTAAGAAAATACTAAGAAAAGTTTAGATGATTACCTAACCCTCCAAGAAGAGTTTAGATGATTACCTAACCCTCAAATTTGAGGATTGCACACGATTTGAATACCTTAGGAATAATGCTTCAGGGTCCCAGAAGGCCTTTTTACAAAGTTTTAACCAAAAAACCTCTTTTTCTTTTTCCTTTTCTTTTCTCTCTTTTAACTCTTTTTTTTTTGTGATTTTCGGTTTTTCAACTTAGTCTAATCTCTAAAGAGCTCGTTTTTCCTTATCAAGATTACTCAAATTTCTTCAAGATAACTCAAAGGAGTTCTTGTAGAAAACCTAGCCGCAAATGGTTTCTGTGTTCTCTCAAAAATTACTCTCCAGTTTTCTCAAAAAGTCCTATTTAAAAGATAAAAATGCAGTATTTATATGGGTAGGGCAACAGAACATAGCTGCGTCATGCAACTAACAGTTGCGTGACTGACCCGAGAGCTACGTGACGCAGCTCACTTTTTGGACTGTTGCCACATATCCACACAAAAAGCAAAACCGTTATGTGGGCTTTTCAAGGTGACGTCATCCTGGTTAGAGTTGCGTGACGCAACTATTAGTGCCGTCACGCACCACTATTAGTGGCCGTCAACGCACCTTATAACTGCGTGACGCAACCCTAGAGCAGGTCAGACTTCCTTGAACTGGTTTCGCTCACTTGCGAGATATTTACTCTGGTTTACAAATACTTCTGGTTGACACCTGATTCCTTTATTCCCGCATCCTTGTATGTCCTCATTCGGGTTTAAAGAAGATCGGGAGAGGATAAAAACACGCGTACAACAAAAGGTTTGGCCCCCTGTCCACTATTATCAAATATAATTGTATAACGATTAAATGTCTCACAAGTGGTCCATTGACGCGCTTCTATCTGGCATCATCCTCAAGCATCGGTTTGGATTGCTTGAAAGATGTTTGGGTTAACTGATGCATCTGGCCACCTTAATCAGCTCGGTTTGATCAGCTTTCCGTCGTGGCTCAGTCAGATCAGTTAACTGAACACACAAAATTCGGTCTGATTGGCTATGAGATACCCTTTTGAGGCCTCGGTTTTGATTGGCTCGAAGGGTTTTTTTAACATTGGCCTAGTCCAACTTTCGGCAATTCACCATCATTTGACCCGGGACAGAGAGAGTGCAAACAAGCTTCGTATACACCACCATTGCTTGGTGGTAGTGAAATTGTCCTGATCAAGCTTTCGCAATATACCATCACTTAATCAGTAAGAAGATTGACTCGATCAGTCTTCGCAATGCCACCATCACACCATCACTAATCGAGAAAAAGGATCCAAACAGCTTCGTAATACACCATCACTGCTTGGTGGGACCTATCGGCTTCGAAAAACCATCACCGATTGGCCTGAAAAATTGTTCGAGAGAAAAGAGAAATATCTATGTACAAACAGACCTTGCCTTTTTGTTAGAAAAATGTTGGGACGTCACATGCCCCAATGCATTAATTAAAAAATTTGCATCAGGGCAAAAGATTATACTTTTGCCCCCAGTCCAGAATTTCGACCTAGGACAAAAAATATTATCGTTTTAGGCATGCCTTTTAATGTTTATTGTCAAAATTTGGTTTAAAAGTTTTGCAAAAATTTAGCAAAAATTTAGGCCAGATAAAATTTTAAGCCTGAATTTTCATTAGCAAAAATTTAGGCCAGATAAAATTTTAAGCCTGAATTTTCAGGTATACCCTTCCTGATGCAGTGTTTAAAAGATAACTTACCTGAGGGTAATTTGGGCAATTTGATGCTCCTGCCCCTTGTGCGGTGAGTGGACAAAATTGCTGAAGTTTACGAGCCGCATACCGGCGTCAAATTGCTTAAGTGGGCCATCATGGGCTTGAACGGGCCGTTTGGGCCTTGTGGGCTTGAAGAGGTTAATGGGCCCCTCCCTCTTTTGGGCTTGAAAAGGTGATAATGGGCTTGGGCTCATTGCTTACTATAAGTAAGCTGCTTAAGCGCTTCATTTTTTACTTTCCAAAACCCTAAGCTT